TGTTGTTGTTGTTGTTGTTGTTCGTCATTGTGTGCCATCAGGCGAAGAAGCAGGTTGCAATTTCGTCCTTGAGTATCTCGAACTTATCTCATAAGGTGTCCTAGAAAACCAAGGCAGACGTGCCATCATTCAAATCTCTAGCCTCCCGAACGTGCTATCATGTCGCCATGCTGTGGGTTTTCCCAGATGAAGTTTTGAGCTTCACTAATCGTTGTAGGTCATGTTTCACAGGTTCGATGGATTCGCATGATAGTGTTGCCGATTGTGTTGGCGCATCATAGCCTTCCACACATGCCGGAACGCTTGACCCCATATTCCGGTTTTTCAAGTGTTTTCCGTTCAGGTTGAGTCTTGCTGCTGGTTGTGCATAGCCGCATGGCTCGAACACTAGGGAGCTGATTAATGGGCCAACCATCGCGCATGATGGTCGCCGATACAAGAAGGTCAGCACCTCATCATGCAAGAACGTGCAGGGCTGCATCCTCACCTCCCGCATCACCGTTTCATGCAAGAAGGCTGATTTTTTTTTCGTTGTGCGTGTTTGAGACCAAGAGTTGAGACGCGACATTTCATGACTTTACTGATGTCTCGTTCTCGCAGCACTGATGACCCAAATTCCAAAACGAGTCTCCATAGTTATGCACCGTGTGAAGGAGACCAGCAGCGCCAGTGGCGGCGATGACACTGGCATGCGCAGGAGCATTGCGTCTGTTGTCTGCCGGAAAAGACCCTGACGAGGAAGATCTATGAGGGTTGTATTGATGAACATGCCTTAGCTGAGAGACAGCTAGCATGTTTGCAGTGACATCGGGGAGCTTCAGCAAAAGCACAGCCATTTGCATCCCGGCAGGGGCGACAATTACGACTTTTGTGGCCCCAAGCTGTCTGAGACCTAAATGGTTCTTGCTTCGCTTCTTAAACAGATGTTGTCGACCAAATGAGGCGGACAATTCTCCTCTGCACGAGCATCCTCTGTAAACGCAGAGGACACAAGTTGTGACGAACGGGATTTGTGTGGGTGGCTTGTTAATGAACTATCGGGCAGCATGAACAGTCGCCAGCACAGGGCGCAAGTATTCAATTGGCTTCTTCGGAAGCTGGTACCTCGATGACGCAGGCCGCACGTAAGGTTTGCATGCATGGCTGTCGAGTGGACAGGTCACAGTGGCACTGACCGGAGCAGTTGCCCGCCGTTCATCAGGTCTCGAGCATGGCCGCAGGGCTTACTATTGCGGCTGCAGCGTTAGCGAAGCGGCAGCGTAGGCCTGTGAAGTGCAAGATACACGCGTAAATGTGGACAGAAGTCACCAATTCCCAAATATGTTTTGCTTGGCGAATCTCGGAGGTCACTTCGTACGTCGGTCTGCCGTGGCCTCAACCGCAACTGACTTAATTGATAATGCCAGTGAACTGGAGGTTCTTCCGCTGCGCACGGTCCTGTTCAGGGCTGTGTTTAAAACAACTAGTTCTGTAGGCTGTTGATGCATCTGTGTGGGTCGCTTAAAAGTGGCCTAAAGCGAATCACCCAAGCAAAGTTGAGCATAAGTCAAGCGATAGCAGTTCTATTCAGGCTCACATGCTTGCTTTGTGCTTGTGCCTGCAGGTTCAGATCCGAAGCCGCGATCCAAGCTGATGCAAGAAGTGGACCAGGTTCGAGCATGGAGTCCGACAGTTAGCACTCTTGCGGGCCCGGGTGCCTGAAGCTACGCTACGCCAGTCTGTGACATGGCAGGTTGGAATTCACAAGAAGAACTCCGAGGCCAGGTGGGAACTGTGTGGTTTTGGCCTGGCTCATTTGGGCTGCGCAGGCATCGGAGAATCAGGAGAACAACAAGTCAGAAAAGCCCAAGGCCTGCCTTTGTCTTGCTTTGGCAGTGCTTGAGATGATTTTTTTTTGAAGTTGCGTTCTCCTTCTCGTGGCCTCCGCAAGCAGCCCGTCGGGTTGGAAGAATTTCTGGTGATTGTATTTTGCGGGGCCGGCTGTGCTGCTCAGGAGGCTAAGTCTGACGACGCCGACAAGAAGGAACCACAGGATAAGAAGGAAGAGAAAGAGGCCAGCAAGGACGACAAAAAGGAAGAGAAGAAGGAGGACAAGAAGGACGACAAGAAGGAAGATAAACCGCAGGAAAAGAAGGAGGACAAGAAAGAGGAATCGAAGGAAGAAAAGAAGGAGGACAAGAAGGAGGACAAGAAAGAGGAGAAGAAGGAGGACAAGCAGGACGAAAAGAAAGAAGACAAGAAAGATGAGAAAAAGGAGGAGAAGAAGGAGGACAAGAAGGAAGAGAAGCCGAAAGAGACGGACAAAGCGGAGAAGGATGGCAAGTCGGAGGGCAACAAGGCAGTCTGGAGATGTTTGACCTGTCAGCTTGACCGTGAGAGGCATAAGGCATGAGGTCCTTGCATGGACAAGTGCCATCTTTTGGAAGAGGCGGAGCAGAAGTCTGAGAAGGACGAGAAGAAGGTCGGGCCGCGCAGGTTATGAGGTCAACACCGGCTGCCTGCGCCTGCCCCCTCTGCCCCTGCTTGCTGTCTTCATGACTGTTTCTCTTCTTTCTCGTTGGGATCTTAACCGTGGCGGAATAAATTGGAAGGAGACGGAAAAAAAGGAAGCCGCCGGTGACAAGCCCAAGGAAGAAGCCAAGGTAGAGAAAGATGCTGAGAAGAAGGAGGACAAGAAGGACAGAAGATTGTATAGCATGTGTGCAGTAGATGGTGGACGGGCCATAGTGCCTACAGAGTCGGAACTATGCCACCATATGCCGCCGCGAGTTGTCGTTGTGCTGTTGACTGCTTGCTTGCAAGGAGCTGTAGTTTCAGTCTTGTCGCTTATCTTTTGGGACAGGTGGGGGATCCAAACCCACCCTCCATGCATGGATAAATCTACACACACACACAAGGTCTTACTCAGCAACGTCTTGCTATCTCGACCTGCGAACAGGTGCCTAAGTGTCAGGAGACTTCTAATTGTAGCGCGAAAGAGCCAGCAACAGCTCGTAGAAGTCCGGGAGAAGGCCGCCCGATCACTGCTGACTGAACCGTCTTGCGTCAGAATACTTCCCACCATCGGCGAGCACAGGAGGAAAAGAAGAAGGATGGTGAGGAAAAAAAGGAGGAAAAGAAGGACACTTCAACAATGAACCTCGCAGTCATGTGCGTCTTCCGATCAATACCCTAGCATTCAGGAGAGTGCTGAGCCGAAGAAAGAGCAGAAATCGGAGGCGCATCTCCTCTCGACGTTGTCTGAACATGGTTATGCTTGATGAGATGCCCGCTGATGCGACAATGCTAGGCCAAAGCAGATGACAAGAAGGAGAAGCCAAAGGAATCGAAACCCGAGGTCGGTGTGATCGAAGCAGTCAGGGATTCGGTGAGGGCTAACTTGCTCCCAGTACGTCACTCGTGAACTCGTGACGTTGCAGTCAATTGAAGGCTCCGCCCAAACCGCCTCCGGGACCGGTGGAAGATGCGGCCGGTCGAAAGTTAAGCGGGTTTGCGCCTCAGTGATTCCACCATGACAGATGCGGCCGGGGCCTTCCATGAGCGGGGTGAGGGTGAGCAATGATCCTGAGTGCGGACTTCAGAAGACAACATGCTTCGTCAATGTCTCACTGCATGCACGTTTAGGCACAGGCGGTCTTTTTGTAGAGAGTGTTGATTCGAAAGTAGGCCTTACAAAAAAGCTGCATACACTGTTGATTGGCCAGGCATGTTGCTTCCATCGCCAGCTTGGAGCCCAGTTCCACATGCAGCACGAGGAAATAGACTCGGTGCGGATGCTATGTGATGCAGTGCTGCTCGTGGGTGAACAAGGCCAAGACGGTGGTGAAGCAGCTTTGAAGGGAATCCGAGAATTCTTCGGAAGCCGCGAGGTCTTAGTCGTCTCGATTTTGCTTATTTTGCTTGTTTTTGATTCCAGTGTAGTGGAGCGGTTGTCAGGCCGAGCTCGAAAAAGCCCTAGAAGCACAGAAAAAAAGGCGAGTTCGTTTCTGAACCCCCGAGTTCTGTCTGAGGGTTCTGACCGATTGCAGGCAAGAGAAGATGATTGCCGAGATGGAGCGGCAATCGCAGGAGATTCAGAAGAAGATGGAGGTCCGAGTGTGGAATGCTTGGATCAGCGGACGTTCACTTGGACTGCCGTCTAGGCCCAGATTGCGGAAGAGGTTCGCCGGGCGCTTGGTGAAGTAGGCAACATTCTTGAAGATACAGAGACTCTCGAATCCTCCGCCCAGGTGTCGGAAGCGAACTGAAAGAACGCATTGAGGCCCTTCAGGCGTGCAGGGTTGTGGGCATAGGTATCGCAGACTCAGAGGCTTGCCAGCTTGGTGGCCCCAGGAGACCTACACCAGCGTCAGTGACCAGCTAGAAATGTCCCAGATCTCCAACGAGAAGCTTCAGGCTGGATGGTTCAGTTGTAGAAGTTTTCATCTGTCTATCCCGACAAGAGTTGAATACTGCTGTAAGGTGGATCGGGACGAGCTCCGGCAGGACTAAGTGAGTACTTTGTGTCGTCTGTACCTGGTCCAGGGTGTGGGTGCTGGTCAGGCTTCTGTAGGCTCCTGGGCTGATTCTTCGTCTTGCTCCCTGCCTCTGACCGCAGGACGTCCAGAAGCTGGAAGAGATGCTGAAGTGTGGGCCCTACAATTGCCCTACGTCATGGGCGGCAATGATGACAGCGACAGCTGCTGGTGCTAAGTGCACAGCGCATGACAGCTGGCTCCGCTTCAGACGTACTTTGTCAGGGAAGAGCAAGAGCGCAATGAAAAGAACAAGAAGGATGCTGAGGAGGCAGCCAGACAGAAAGAGGCCCCTTACTGTTTTGGGCCCGGTTTTGCCCATCGCCCGCACCATCTGTCTTCAGCGCTGACGTGAGCTCGTCAAGAGGAACAGCTAGCCAAGCTTGAAGAGAAGAAAAAGGAGCTCACAATCACCGTCAGGACAGGGGTGGTTGTGATGCCTTGCACATCCAACTTCGTCCAACAACAGTTTCGAGATGAGCGGTCATCACTGTCATGCTATGGCGGCCAGGGAGCTCGACAAGCAAATGCAGGCATGCAACCGGTCCGTTGTCAGACTCATTCGCCTCATGTATGTGCAGCCGCAACCAGGCGGAAAGGGATGCAGCTGCGAAGAAGGCAAGCGCAACTATCAATTGGTTGATGTTGAGCCAATCGGTTTCCGCCAGATTTCTGGCTCGTAGCATGACAGCTGTCCTTGCTCTGCCAACATGGATCGGCTGACACAACTCTGGTGAGATATTCCACAGGAATCCAAGATCCGCACCGAGCTCACCGACACGCGAGAGGCGTCCAGGGCTCAGCGACTTGACGCCCTCCTGCAGCTCGAAGGATTCTTGTTTCTGTATCCCCCTCAATCGTTTTCCGAGGCTAACTTCTTCAAGGAACGAGACCAGCCAGGCCTGGGCATTCCAGCCGTGCTGTCACGTTATTTTTGTCTCCGAAAGCAACTGCTTGGGTTTTTCTCCAGGTTGTTAGCGAGCTCAAGACGGCTCGCAAGGAAAATGCAGCTCTGGAGGACAAGGCCCCCGGAAGCCAATGCGAAGTACCAAGCTCCGCCTGCTTGAGTCCGTGGATGCAGTGAGGGAGAACTCTCTGTTTGGCAGGTCCGTAGCGTCGAAGAAAGCTTAAAGGCTTCGAAAGAGCAGCAGGAGGCAAAATGGGTGTTGTCCGCCGCAGTTCGATCAGTCGATGCATCTGCGGTTGCCGTGTTCCACATTTTGCCTGGCGGGCAGTTGCTGAATACCAAGCTCAAGGAAGTCATGGCTGAAGGCACGAGCAAAAGATCACCCGAAGTGCAGTGTCAAACTTCCTTCGTGACAGGATAGCATGAGTGCAGTTATTCAAGGATCCGCGGAATTGTAGGCCCTGTAGGGACATGTGATGTCGAGGTGATCTTCTAAGAAAGGAGACCGAGATCCTCAAAGAGGCTGCAGTCGAGGCAGCAGGACCAGCAGGGGTAAGGGCTGGAGATGCAAGGGCTTCGGGCTTCCGCCATCCAACACGCTTCGGAGTGCAGGACGAGAGCAGAACTACTACCAGATGATGAAGAAGTTTGCGAAAAAGAGCAAGGCGCCAACTCCGGAAAGCGGTCGGCATTCACTGCTGCCAAGCCTCAAGCCTTGTTTCGCGGAAACACTGCTCACACCTCTAAACCACCAGTGATCACCACTGTCGCTAAACCGTGACTTGCTCTCCGTGCGCGGGCAGGAGCTGGAGGAGCGATTGCCCGTGATGGAGGAGGAAAATCAGAAATTGCTTGCTCGGATTAGCCAGGATCTTACAGCTCGTCCGGCTTCAGCCTCCTCTGTGGGCTGTTCTTCGGACTATTCATACATCCAGCCAGTAAACACCTGCAAGGAGTAGCTGCAGCCATCAGTGAGCAACTTCTGCGCCTATCCCGTGACATTCCTATCCAGCTATTCAAATGAATCTAGCTATCCGTTTATGCTTGTATATGTACATGTATGTTAATAATATGTGTAAGCACATGCACATGTAGACTCTCCACCCAAGGCCAGCTTGAGATCGTCGCTGAAAATGTGCCTTGCCTCGATTATTCTTTCGACTGTTACCTCTTTGCTTTCTGATCTTTAATAACTCCGTCAGGAGAAGAAGCTGTCCAAGCAACTGGAGGCCTGCTGTTGCTGAGCTGCTGTATCGCGTGCAGAGTGTGTGCAGAGCAGGTCTCAACCAGTGAGAACGAGGAGCTCGCGAAAGAGCTTCAAAGCCTTTCAACAAGCTTGAAGAGCAGCGGATCTTAGCTCCGAAACATCCGCTTGCCAAGATTCGATGCAACTGTTAGCGGCTGTGGCTCAGGCAGAGACCAGGACATCGAGAAGCTCTCAGAGGATCTCGAGGCCTGGGCCCTCTTGTAGCTGCAACGATCTTCCTGTCCGTGCGACCCAGATCAGCCACAAAGAGAAGAAGTTCATCCAGCAGAAGTCGAGCCGCGTCTGAATTGGCGCATGAAGCATGAAGGCATGAGGTCGTAGTTCATTGAACGAGCCTTCAGATCTGCACTCTACGACTTTGCACGCTCGTGCCACTGCAATGTGCAGCAAGATGAGCATTTTCCAGGAAGTTGCAGACATGCTCCTGCCTGTCACGGGAATCTGGTTGCCAAGGGAAGAATTCAAGCAGCATGCTGAGAAGAAGTTCCGAGCGGCGGAGGACAAGATATGGGAATCGACTGAGAAGGCATGTGTGTTGGTGCTGGATCACTTGCACATCTGCAAGTATTATGAAATGATGGTCTTGCTGTCCTCCCTCCAGGTGGTAAAAGCAAAGGCAGAGACCAAGTACGCGATGCTTGGTGGCAGGTGAGGCATTTCCTTTTCATTATATCTTCTTTTGAGAGTTTTTCGACAGTCTGAGCGAGAGAGGGAGAGAATGTCTCTCGACCTCCTTCGCACTCCTCAGTTCAGCAAGACATCTCCATGGATTTCCGTCGCAAGCTGGAAGGAAATCCAGACGCCAAACCTGCAAGCCACTAATAGCCAGGAGAGCAGCATCCTTTCCCTTCAGCTTCTCCGAAAACTTAAGGATCAAGGAAGCTTCGCGTGCAAGAGAGGCGAGTGGCCAACTCTGTTATGTCGACAGTGTGCTAAAGCAATTACTTTGACAGATGTAGCTGTTCGGAGAATGGTGCAGGAAGCAGCAGAGGAAAGAAAGGAGATGGCGAAGGCAATCTATTCTTGGACTGCTGTGCGCTGATGATACTCATCAAGGTATGGCATGTGAAGATTAAGATAGCATGGTCACACTGCTGCTCGAGCACGTTTGCACGTAGATCTGTTAAGACTTTATGTTTCTGAATCGTCATGCCTTAGCTGCTGAGCTGCGGACGACTGCTGTGGTTCAAGCAATCCCGGGTTGACTTTGTGTGCAAGCTTAGAGCGGAGGGTTCACCAGCACGTTGCTGCAGTGGATTGTCAACCCAAGCTTGGCGTGAAAGGCCGCAGAAAGAGCGAGACAACGAGCTGAGGAGCGTGTGCCAGTCTCGGCATGGAAATTTCGGGCCTTAGGTCTTCGGTGGGGCAGGGGCAAGGCCAGGCCACAGTCGATGTGTGGAGGATTTCATTCTTTTGACATTCAAGGTGCGAGCAGAGGCGGACAAGGCTGCAGCGGCACAGGCAAAAGCTGAGCAGGTGCAGAGCGTATAAGGGCCGTGGTCGCTTGTGTGTGATTCTCGATGTTGCGGCCCTATACCCTATGAAGAAAGTTACTGTCGACATATTGGTGTCTTGTTGAAGCAGATCACGGCTTGTCTACCGAAGTCCCAGGCCTGCATGGACTTGTCAGGCTGCAGCCGACAAGGAGAAGGCCATTAAGGACGCCGAGGCGACCAAGAAGAAAGCCGAGGCGGTATTCTTTAGCTTTAGCGGGTAAATAATGGGGTCAATGTGCTCAATGTGCAAAGACGGACAGCAATGATGATAGCGTGCTCTGGAGAAGTACACGTGGTTCATGAAGATGCCCCGCTTGTATTTTCAGGCCGACAAAAAGGAGGCCATCGCGAGAGCAGATGCTGCTAGGAAAGCAGCTGAAGAGCAGGTGGGGCTGCGATACTCGTGCACGACTCTTCGCGTGCCATAACCCGCTACAAAACTCGGAAGTTGGAATGGCAGAGATGAGTGCCACTAGCTGGCCGCGGTCTACTTTCAAGACTGAGTGTGGTACACAACCAGAAACTTGAAACCATAGGCCGGTTCCGCTTTCTTCGAGACTGGTCCTGCCAGGGCTGCAGTGAGATTGTAAGCTACCTCGTATCCGAAAGCAGATAGATAGAACGAGACTGGTAAACAAAGAACAAAGGCAGATACGTGCGTAGATGTCTGTGGATATATTGCACGCATAGATGGTCGGATGGCTTGCTGGATGGATGCATGTAGGCATGTATGTAGACACAAGCTCATACATATGTACACCTGCACATGCACGCCATTGCAAAGGTCGCAGATTCTCAAGTCCTGCACTGTGACCAGACGTACGCCTGTTTGCAAAGGCCAGAAGGGATGCCAAGGATGCATTCAAGGCCAAGCAGGCCGCAGACGATGCAAAGGCGGGCTCGGGCTGTCGCGCGTGCTGCACCGTGGAGTGGGCACCTACCTCTTCCAAGCTTTGGAGGCAGAGAAAGTTTACGCGCTTCAAGATGCCGCAGATGCGAAGAAGCTTGTATACGTACAATTTTTCGAGGGCTCTGAGCCAGCGGGGCTTCTGGAATGTAGAATGCTAGACGGGTGCTCGGCAAGAGCCGCTGCTGTTCCAGCCAAGGAAAGCAGCCGAGAAGGCCACACAGGAAGCCATCAGAGCTGCTGATGAGGTTTGACGGGTGTGTTGATGGAGACGGTAATTCGAGCTCCTTGTGTGTTCCAGTTGCTTCGAGGCCATAGCGGCTGCGGATAAGAAGGTAAACGAGCAGATAGCCGCAGCCGAAGCAGCCAAGCAGGCAAAGGAGAAGGCTGAGGTCTGCCTGCCAACCGCTTGTGGGTTCAGATCTGGGCCCAGTGTACCTACAGTGGCCGATGCATCGACTTGTCGTTCCTCTGAGCCTGTGAGAGTGAAGACCCAAATCCGAATCCTAAGTAGCAATGTGCAGCGAGGTTGCCAAGGCGGACGCCTTCGAGGACTTCGATGACTTGTCTTGTCGCACGCTTCAGGTACTATGAGCAGGGCTAGACGCGACTCTAAAGTACTTTAGCAATGCTTTGCCTAAGATTTTGCGAAGCATATACATAACTGTATATAGATTTAACAAGTTAGACAGGCCAGAACTATCTTTGCAAAGATGTAAAAACAAAAGACACGCACGCACATACACGCACATGCGCGCACACACACACACACACACATGCACACACACACACACACACCCACACATGCACACACGCACA